CAGGGCCTCTGCGCTTGGCCCTCTGTGGCTCAGAAGTTAAGTAACTTGCTCCAGGACACACAGCAGAGCCCCAGCTCTCATGGTTTCCAAGGCCCTGCTCTCTCCACAGTTGCCTCGGCCTTTCTCTCCCTGCTGATGACTCACAGGACAGGCCACAGCTCTTCCTTCTGCTTTCTGGGTGGAATGTTTTCATTCCCAAGATTGGGCGTGGGCAGAGCCAGGACCACAGGGACCGCACGGTTGTGTCAAGTCCCCCGGGCAGACAGCGTTTCCTTGCTAAGCACCCGCCCCACTCCAGAGCCAAGCCTCAGACAAGTGCGTCAGCTGTGTCCCCACTGGGAGGTCAGGCCTTCTGGGCCCCTTGGGAGGCCTTAAAACTGAATGCCAGGCCCAGGGCCGGCAGACAGCGACCCACACTCTTGCTTCTTGTTCTCCGCAACCTTTTTCTTCTGTGCCCCCAGGAAGGCAGGGCCCTGTCACCCAGGAAAAGGAATCTCCCACTGAGAAACTGATAACCCTGTAGCTACCCCCTGGGGCCCTAAAACCAGCTCTTCCCTTGCAGTGGTGCCCTTTTAGCAGGAAAAGGGCCGGGTCCTGCCATTTCAGCTGGCATCTCCAGGCCACCTCTGCCTCCTCCTCTTCCCTTTCACACGGGGTGGGGCCATGGGGAGCCTTTATTCCCTCCTCACTCACCAGGACCCCCGCTGAGCACTGGCATTCATCCCCTGCACCGGAGCCAGCCACAGCAGCTCCTTTCAAACCCCCAGAGAGACGCAAAGCCTGGATAAGGCTGTCCTTGGGCCCTTTGTTGGGGACTTGGTTCCCAGGCCTTTGATCTCCCAGGCTCCCTGGCCAGGCCCCACCGGAGCAACCACCATAATACGGCCATTGTGACCTCGGCACACCAAGCCCACGGTGGGCGTCCCTCTCCAGGCTGGCACCTGAAAGCCTTGAATGCCCGCTTGTCACGCGGAGAAGTTACAGTGTCCTGAAGCAGCAGGGCCCTCCCCCAGAGACACAATGGACGGAGGCCGGTGGGAGGCCAGGGCCTTTGTGTGGGAGAAGTCGAGCGTGCTGCTGAGGTTGTGCTCGGGAAACAGCCTGGAGACTTCAGGGACTTGAAAGGTGGGGCAAGCGCCAGCCTCTGGGGAGTCTGCCTTTTTAAAAAAATGTCACCATCCTCTTCCTCTTTCCTTGCCAACTCCCACCATTGCAGAAAAGTGGCTGCTTTGGAGAGGGGGGCACGTTCTGTCACTCCCATCATGGGCCTCTGATCTCTGCATACCCAGGCTGCGGCCTGGCTGGTGGGAAGGGAGCCCTCCAGAGAATCCTCACTCAGTCAAACGTGTGTGGGCACGTGGGTGCAGCGTGGAGCGTCAGGAATAAACTGCTTCTCTGGCTCTGGTCACCTACCCTGCAGGTGACTTGGAGACTGAAGGCACAACAGTACCTTGGAGGATGGAATGAGTTACACGTGAGACCCTGGTCAGTAATGCGGTGACTTCTGAGAGCATGGGTGCCTGTGACCACGCCTACCCATCCTCGGGCTCAGATGAGCCATGGCAAAGCCCTCCCATAGGTAAAGGGGATTTTCACCCCCAACCCAACTCCTTAGTTTTCACTTCAGCCAGTCATCTCCACGCTCTCCTCCCACAGGCAAAATAAACATTTTACTAAGGGGCAGACTGAGGCCCTGAGAGTCCTCTCTTTAGCTGGAAAGCAGTGTGCTCTGTCAGGATGGGCACTGCTGTGACCACTTTAACTCTTTGGTATCCAGAGACATGGGATGAAATGTCTGCCTTTGGATCCCTCATGGGCTAGGGAACACCTCCTGGGCTGTCCCTTGATAAAGTTACCTCCTAAAAGTTGGCAGTGCTCAGTGGGGGTAGAGGTGACACAGAACATGTGGGGAAGCTGATCAAGTATCCACACCTTGGGGTTTTGGGATCCTGGCTCCATGTGACCTTCATCGTCACTTGCTTCACCTGTAAACCTGGGAACAGCAGTGTCTGCTCCGTGGCCCAGCATGCAGCCCAAGCAGCACCACGCCCAGGACATGGTCTGTGTTCAGTAGCTTCCCTTGCCATCAACTTCCTTCCCACTCTGAAGCCCTTTCAGTTCCTCTAATGCTCCTTCCTCTTGCTCACCTCCTGTCCTCCAAATCCTCCCAAGGTCCGCTCCTTGGCCTGGGGATAGTCATTCCTCTCCGTTTACTCAGCTAACTCATCCTCATCCTGCAGATCCCATCACAGACATCATCACTTCCTCCAGGTAGTCTTCCCTGATTCCTTAGGCAAGGTGAAGTCCCCCTGCCCTGGGCCCCATGGCCCCTGTACTTTCCCCCTCAGAACATGTGTACGCTGATGAGACACTGCCTTGTTTGTGACTTCTTCCCTGGGCTGTGTGCGCTGGAAGGCAGGAATGGGTTGGCTTCATTTACAGATATATCTATAGCACTCCCAAGGTACTAGGACAGGGTCTTAGTACACATTTGCTGAAATGATAATTAAAAATTAACCAAAAGAGGGTCACATCCCTCCCTTCCCCTACTGCGACCACTCTCCAGAGGCAGGGACTGTCTGAGGTACAAGAGTAAAACCTCGAGTCTTTAGCTTTATAATTTGACAAAGTGTGCATTATTCTTATTTTAGTTGGAAAGCTAAAGCTATCCCCTCTTAGAGTGAGTCCTCACTGAACAAACTTCCAAACTGACTCATGTTCCTAGGATAAGACACCAGAATATGCCACCATCAAATACGCCTCTTAGGCATGAGGATGTATGAACTGAAGGCAGTTAAGAAGCAGATACAGGGCCGGGCACGGTGGCTCAAGCCTGTAATCCCAGCACTTTGGGAGGCTGAGGTGGGTGGATCATGAGGTCAAGAGATCGAGACCATCCTGGTCAACACGGTGAAACCCCATCTCTACTAAAAATACAAAAAATTAGCTGGGCATGGTGGCGCGTGCCTGTAATCCCAGCTACTCAGGAGGCTGAGGCAGGAGAACTGCCTGAACCCAGGAGGTGGAGGTTGCGGTGAGCCGAGATCGCGCCATTGCACTCCAGCCTGGGTAACAAGAGCGAAACTCCCTCTCAAAAAAAAAAAAAAAAAAAAAAAGAAGCAGATACAGGAAGCTCTCTGGTCTCCCTCTATTTGCTTAAAGGCAGGATATAGATATATAAAGACAAAAGGTATCCCATCCCACTTCTACCAGGGGGAGCAAAGCTTAACCACTGCAGACAACTTCAGACCCTTATCCACTGGCAGTGGCTCCAGAGGAACCTACGAGAACAAGCCTCACTAACCAGCCCTTATCTACCATCTGTTTCTCTTGCCACAAGCTGCCACCCCTGAAGACTCAAAGTTGTTTTTCTTTGCCTTGTCACTTCTCTAGAAATGTACTTTTTGTTGTTGAAGATGCTATATGAGCTGGAATTCAAAGCCACATATTTAAGAGCTACTGACTCCCCGGGTGTGTCCCATGTATGTATGAAACACACAATATTAATAAGCTTCTGTTGGTTTTTCTCCTGCTAATGTGTGGTTCCAACTAACAGCTTAGAAGGGTTTGAGGAAAAACCGCTTTTCTTCCTCTACACTGGCATTAGGCCCAAACAAGGGTGGCATTCCTGCCATGGCCCAGTTAACCTGCTGACGTCCTGTCAGCTCCCTGGATACCCACATGCCCCAAACTTGGTGAGCTGAGCCAGAAGGAAGGTGGGCTCCAAGGAGATGGCAGCAACATGGCGCCTAGCTCAGAGTGGGGCTGTGGGGGGCTGTTTTCCTTCAGTGTCATTGAAACTGGCTCATTCTAGCTCCTGGGAGGAATAAGTGGGGAAGGGAGGGAGGAGGGAGGGGGGAGAAGAACCCCAGCAGGCTGGGGCCAGCACCCTCCGATCTGTGGTGGCTGTGGTTAAGCTGGTGCCTCCAGAGAAACACGAGCAGGGTGGTGAAAACTGCCAGCCGGCGCTGGCTCTTGCAGTGGTAGAGAGGCCCAGGAAGGGGCAGGAACCTCACGGGAGGACGCTCCTTTCTTTGAAGCTCAACTACTACAACTCCATTAAAGTTAGAAGAGGGGGCATCAGGTTCCTAATCTGAGTAATCCATTTCCGCCTCTGCATCTGCCTGTGCGTGCAGGCTCCCCTGGTCCTGAAGTACCATGGCTGCCATCACCTGACATTTTCTGAGTGCCTACTATATGCCAGGCACCATTCCTGGGGTCAGAACAATGAACAAAAAGTTTACGCATTTTGAGGGTTTACATTTCAGATAGTAAATGGGTTTTTTAAAAATTAGAAGCCTTATCATGCTATTTCTACAATGACTGATCTGAGAGCGATTTTATATTATAGAAATATTTGTACCAAACCCATCTAGACTGCGGTGTCGTTGAGAGAAGGAACAGATCTGATTCATCTCTAGATTTTCCAAGATGCGTGGTACAGAGCCTGACACTCACTGATGCTAGGTTTACAGCCACCAAAAGAAGGCCCCAACAGGATTTGTCTCCAAATCCAGAGGCCCCTTCCCTTGCCATGTGGTGGTAACCTCCAGAAATGGAGTGGGAGACAGCAGCTCGATACCATCTGGTCATGCATACAAGTTGGTTTGACATTTCCAGTTGGTTTCAAAGGGATATCCATCACAGGAGGTTTCTCTACTCAACCAGAGAGAGGGTGTAACCAGGCACAGTTTCTGGTATCAGATACAGAAAGATTAATGTCCTAGGCACACAAAAATGATCAAAACCACTGATCAAAGATGTGGATCAGACAAGCACCACCACAGAGGCATAGTACCGGTCCTTGGGGAGGAATCTTCAAGGGGCAAAGAAGGTTACTGTAACCTCCAGAGGCCAGAAACGTGAGTGCTTAACATGCACGGGGTTTGCACTGACCCACACAGGAAGCAAAGGGCTGGGCACGTAATCAGTGCTCAGTTAAACACAGCTGGTATCATGATCGCCGAGGCTCTTGACAACTTGAGAGCTGCACTTCTTACCCAGCGTGTACGTAGAGCCTGAGAAGCTGCGGTCATCGCTGATGCCAAGGAAAGGAGAAACCACTTGCTTCACCAGCTCCTCCAGTTGCAAATAACTCTCACTTGGGCCTGTGGGCTCATGAACACTCTGGAAAATGAACAGCCAAGATACGCAAAGGTCAGCGTCTGTTGCCATGCCCAGCAGGTGCTCACTTAACAAATCCTGATTGTCCTCCTTCAATGTACAAGGCAGTGTTGCTGGCAGGCAGCGTCCTTGCAGTTAGAATGAAGGAAACTGAGGCCTGAAGCCTTAGTCACTTGTCATGGGTCACTGCAATTAGAATTGTGTATGGTTAGTACCGCAGCAGCCTCTCCCATTGGGCCACCAATGCGATGTGGATGTCCCACCTCCAGGGCTGAGATCTGGCTGGTCTCAAGGACAATAATCCTACCCACACTGTCGTAGTGACTGGTTCATAAACAGCACACAGACACTTAACATATATTAAGGCACGGAGGTCTCCTGACAATGCAAAGAGGAAGGTGCTCTTATTAGCCCCCTACTCTGGATGAGGAACTAAAGACCCAGAGAGCTAAAGTACCATGCCTAGGAAAACACAGCCAACAGATGGCAAAAACCCTGGACTGGAACCCAGGCTATCTGGCTCTGATCCTCTTTTACTGCCACTTGCTATCAGGCTAGAAAAGAAGGGAGGAAAGTGTATGGAAAAGTGCAGAGTGATTAGAGAAAGGGAGGATTCTTCTAGAGCCAGGAATAGTTGTAGCACCAAGATAAAGAGCCAATTAAAAATCTCGACGTGACAGGAGTTCTCAAAGCTAAGTGCTGAGTAAAGAACGGTCAAAACCAGAAAGGACTCAGTAACCAATGTTTTCTAGAAAACCAGCAGACTCCTAGGGAGTTCAGCTTCTTACTGGAAAGGACTCAAACGTGCTGTCATATTGAGAAGCTGCAAAGAAGCAGAGACCACCGGAAAGGAACAAGGCTCCGTGGGGCTGTGCCCAGCCTGAGGGGTTAACATGTCAAATTCTCAAAATGGGGTTGACTCTAAATCACTTTCACTTTCAAAGTAGACTCCACTCCAGCGCGGCGTTTCAGGGATTGAGGGGGAAGCTGGTCAGGTAATGAGGCAGGCAGGGCTGACCCCTGCAGGTTGGCGATCCTAGGGGGATGTAAGCTGCCAAGGAAACAGACTATTCCTTGGCCCCTTTTTGGTACTGTCACATTGAGATGGGTGTGGCCAGGGGCTGGGGGAAGAGAGGACACAGCTTCGGGAAACACAAGGAGGCTGAAGAGTGGGCTGGATGGTGCAGATTTGGAGGTAGAAACAGGGCCAGAAGAGATGCAGAGAAAATGAGTGGATTCTCCCCCAAAACCTTCCATAAACAGGGAGAGACCACAGAAAAGGAGAAGTGGCAAAACGTGGGAGGAACATGGATAAGAAACACGTGATTTGGAGCTGGATGGCTTTCTCCCAGAAAAGTCGCTGCTGAGAACTTGGCTTGTGCACAGCCCTCCAGGAAGGTGCTGTCCTCGGCCCTTGGCTTGGCTGCCAAACAGCTACGGAATTGGTGTGGTCCAGAGTAAAAAATGCAGGAACTCATGTTCAGAAATCAAGAATGTCAAATGGTGATGGGAGGAAATTAAATCAAGCTCAGGGTCGTCTGAGCATAGGCCGAATACCCTGCCTGGCTGGGGCCTCTGAGAATGCACCGCTCTTAGGCTGGTCTCAGGACTTGACTGCATCAGCTGGGAGCAAACAGATCTTCACACTGGTCAATGTCTCTGATTCTGCCTCTCACTGGGGCAGTTTGAAGGCAGAGCACATGGCCCAATGTAGGAGTATTTGTACATTTTGGGAAAGGTGGAGTTGGGTCAGGGACGTTTTGGAAGAGCAACAGAAAAGACAGAGATGAAGGCCTAAGAAAGCGCTCTTTTCTCTGTACTAGGGTCAAGTAGTTTTGAAAAAATATCAGCCCCAGGTCTCATGGCACTGTGGAAGGTGCAGGTCTAGGGAGAGAATGGACAATTCTAAGGCCCACATTTCCTGTAGCTGGTGTGGCCCCAGGGTAGTGCCACCCAGAAGTTCCATTCAGATTCAGAGCCCACCACCCCTACTGCTCAAGAAGATGGACTTGGGCCAGGGAAAGATCCGTGCTCTTCACAGTCACACCCCCAGCCGTAGGCTCTAGAGCTCCTGGTGAGGAAGAATATGGGCAAAGGCACCATTCCTAGGAAGTCCTCAGGGGAAGTGATGCCAGATGCCCTACAGGAAAATGGGACGATCTTTAATGGTCCGTAGGGTACCTGTAGTGCACTTCCGAGTACGCTGGGAGACTGCAGAAAGGAGGCAGTAGCTGCCTAGAAAGGCTAAGTGGAGGTAGGGAAGACAAAGGCTGAGGGCTGGGGAACAATCCAGCTGTCTTATAAATGAGTACATGACCTTGAGCTCAGTTGCCACCTTCTCTGAACCTGCATCTCAGCTGTGAGATGCGGAAAACAATGGTATAGACACAGGAGGAACCGTTCCCTTGCCTGACTTTCCAAAATTCACCACGACCCCAGAGCTTCTCTGACTGTACTTCCCTCTGCCAAGAGAAGAAGCCCGCATGACGGTCACCAACCTGGGGTGTGAGGCCAGGGACACAACATCAGTGCTGCCCAGGCTTCTACTAGCTGGTGCTATATTCCCTGGACAGTGTCTAATGAATACCTATTATGTGCCAGAGACTGTGCTGGGTGCTGAGGGCACAAAAGCAAAGAGAAAACATAAGGACCTTCCTTGATTGGACAGGAGCTTCAGAGCCTCAGAAGACAAAGTGTTCTGAGCAGGGGGAAGGGTGAGCACAAAGATTCCGTGGCAGGCAGGGAAGCCAAGAAGACTAGAGCAGCGGGGAAGTCAGCCTCCAGAAGGGTGGGAGATGCCAAAGGCCGAGGTACAGACTTGGGCTGTTTTTCTAAGATCATCTGGAAACCACTGAAGAGTCTGAGGCTGTCCCATGGAAAGCAAATTGGGGGTGGGGACCAGAGTGGATGAGGCAGGTTCTCCTGGGCAAGCAGTCTCACCTGTCTTTGGGGATTCAGGGGTATGATGACTGAAGCTTTCTCATGTGGTTGCAGGGCTACCTGGCACCAGGCCCTGAATGTTGGAATGTGATAGGCATTTTTCATTATCGACACAGGCCCTCCTGTTCCAGTATCAACAGGTGAGAGCCTTCACCTGCAGGACTGGATCAATTCTCCTTCCAACCAAACCAAACCACACAAACCACCACCGCCCAAAACACACAGGAATCGCTTCTCATCCCTCAACTATTATAAACTGAAATGGAAAGATGGGTGCTCAACTTTCCGAATTTTCCTATCAGAATCCCAAAGGGCTCATTTTCAAGACTCCTTATTCCGCATGCATGCTCTAATTAGGCTTCTCAGACCAGAGCCCCACATGCATTTTTCTATCCCCCTCCTTCTCCATCTCTTCCATAAAAATACTTGACCTGGCATTCCGGCCAATTACACCCACCCTCATCCTATTAGGCAACTCTTCCTCCTCTCTAATTACAGGAAAAGGGGGAGAATGCCCAGAAAAACGGCCCAGCTTCAAGAACTGAAAGAGAACACCGGCTGGGGGATGTGGGAGAAGGATCAGATTGGGGCCGCAATGCCTGACATTCCATCGCCGCTGTGAGGGCAGCAAGGGGTCACCACTGGCCTGATCAAGGATAAAGCCATCTTCCCTGAGGAAGGGCTCAGAGCTAATGCTGCCCCATCTGAACTTGTTACAGAGGTGGAGAGGCATAGCAGTCACTTCTTGGGGGTGTCCCTAGCCAAAAGTCCTACTATTTGAGAACTGTGTGCCCCCACCGATAGGAATGGGCTTGCCAAGGTCATGTTTATACTGCTTGATCCTACTCAAGAGTCATGGCTGATTGGGCAAAGAGGAATCGTCTCGTCCAAACTGGACCAATTAAATTATTTCCTCTGAATCTTACTGCCTCTTCCTAGCTGAGGGACCTCAGGCAAGCACACAAACTTACTAGGTTTCATTTTCCTCACTTCTAAAATGGGAATAACAACAATGCCTACGTTGCATGGTGATTGTCTGGATTATCTGATTAAGAAAACAACATACTTAAAGTCCTTGGCCCGTGCCTGGCACATAGCCAAGGACCAATAAGTGTTTGTTCAACTTCCTAGTATTGATTTAGAATTGGGATTCAGTGACACTAGGCAGCCACTGGATAGTCTCTTACTGAAGCACATGAGCTGTGAGGTGTTGCATTCGATCAGGTGCAAACCAAACACAGAACATAAACCTGCAGGGAGAAAAAGACCAAGTCCAGGAAAGATAGGACAAGATAAAGACAGACAAGGTAGCCAGATTCAAGTAGAGATTAGGAAGTAGAGAAAGGATGGTGGCTTCACGGCCTGAGACAGCCACATTCCTGGTTGTAATCCCTCACGAAGTCCATCTGCCCTGGGAGCTTCCCAGGGAGTTCCTTGTCCGACTTAAGCTAGGCCAAAGTGTATTCTTTGCCGTTAACTTGCAACTTGTGGCTCCCTGGCATCACTGGAGAGGGAAAAGGACATCTACTTCCTGAATGAAAGACTTGCTTCCTTTACTCCCCAGTGCAATCCTGGCACCAAGCACAGCACCAGGAACGAACAGGTGCTCAGTGAATGCACATCAAATGAACAAATGAATGAACAAATGAACATGGACCAACAAACTAAATAGTAGTAAGTCAAGCTAAGGTTTTCTGGTCACTAGGTTCCTTTCCTCTCATCTCAGAATGGCAGTCTCTTCCCTCGCTCCCTCCCTTGGCCTTGAGGCAAGTCTCCAGTACAGCCTCACCTGCAGGATGAGCAACATCTGGACAATGGATGAGGGCAGCTTCGACTGGGCCAGCAGCAGCAGGTCACCCAGCTTCACCTTCAGCAGGACCAGGTCTCGGAAGCCCAGCAGGGAGATCTGGCGGATCGTCAGCTCCTGGCCCTAGAGCGGACAGAGGAGGGAGGGCTGGGAGGTGAGAGCTCACTGAATCTGCCACCAACCATGTGGGGTTTAAGACAGCACATGTTTAAGTAGCACCAAAGACGAGATGAGGCATCTGCAAGGGCTAGTGTGTCTTTCAAAGAGTTAAAGACCTGGCCCCTGTCCTCTAGAATCAAAATGTTGTTAAGATAAGGCATGACTCAACCTGCCTACCTAAATGACCCAAAGACAATACAAGGCATATATAATAGGGCACACTATTATCAGTGTTACGAGTGGCCAGGAAGGAGAGAGAAAGATGGGGAGAAACAAAGGAAAGATCAATACTACCTCCTACATTCAAGGCTACATTTCCCAACTTCTTTTGTAATATATCTGAACACCTATCATGCAAATAAAGAAGGAAAACATAGGACCTCTTGGATTGTTATATAAATACCAGTAATTTAGGAAGCAAAATAAATAGAAAAGGAAAAGGATTTGTCCAACTGTGGGGGTGGGGTAAGGAGCAGAAGGTGAAAATAATAACTATCTATAAGCTAACATTTATTAAATTCTATGTGCCAGGCACGAGTCTACATATTTTAGATGTAAACAATACATGTAATCCCCACATCCCCACAACCACCCTTTGAGACAGGCACCATTATAAAACCCATTTCACAGATGAAACGCCCAAAAACCCAGAGAGTCACTAATCCACCCAAAGTAGAGCTGGGTTTCAAACCCAAACGTCTTGATTTTAGAGCTCCTCAAGTTTCCCAAGACCAAAACAGAAAGGAAGGTGCATTTTTCAGCCTCTCCTTTGCGCACACACATGCAATGCACACTAAAAGTCGGTTGTTCTTGGTTGAGCCCAACCCGTTTCACAGATGAAACACCCGAAAACCCAGGCAGTTACTATAATTCACCCAAAGCGGAGCTGGGTTTCCAACCCAAACTTCTTGATTTTAGAGCTCAAGTTTTTCAAAACAAAAGAGAAAAGAGGGTTCATTATTCAGACTCTCCCTTACACACAGTCATACAAATGCACACTAAAAGTTGGTTGTTCTTGGTAGAACCAAAGACCTCATTAGGGTACCCTCCCAAGCTGACCAAGGTTTAAGGATGTTTTATACTTCGTGCAACTCTGTAGGGTTTTATAGAAACATGGTCAAGAGTGGTTTTGCTATCTCCGTATCGCCGGACCCTCCACATCCAACAGATACACACAATCACCACCCGTACATTTCAATAACATAAAAAATTATAAACAGAGCTCACATTATGTTGCATGCTTTAAATACCTTATCATCTTATAATGAGGGACTCTGATTAGGTTTTATTCTTTCAGTATCTCTGAAAAGTTGGTCAGTTGGTACTACCTCTGTTGGATGGATTGATGGACAGAGACACTGAGGCACCTGGAGAGAGCCAGCATTAGGCCCCATTATTCTGGCCAGCCCCTGGGTCTTGGTCGTGTATGATGTTGGAAGCAGAGGGGATATAACCAACTTTCGTTCACAACCTTCCAAGGAAGTGAACAGAACTGTCTGATTTAAACTATAGAATGTGGGAAGAGAGAAGGAGGAAGACTGGGGCGCTCAACCCTCTGGAAACTAGAACAGGAATTCTGGTGGGAGGGGAAGACTGCGAGGCAAAAGGAAACAATTTTAGGACCTCCTGCCAAATCACTTTCCAGAACTGATTTTCTAGGAATTCCCTACAAGGTCACCAAGGCATCCCGAAGGAGTCTTTATTCCCAGAACTGCACTCCAAAAAGACAATTGTTTTGCCTTATTGTTTTTGGTTTTATATTTAAATCATAAAATATTTAAAGGCAAAGATTACAACAGTTCAGAAAAAGGGTTTAAGGTAAGGTTACAAGTCCTCTTCCTCTAATTTCTTATTCTCCCTCCACACTGGTAACTGCTCCTTAAGGTTTTTATTTATCTTCTGAATTTCTCCAGAAAGTTCCTATATCCACAAAATCACATATAAAACCTTTAAACCCACACAGAGATTATGCCTCTCCTACTGTTCTGCAGCTTCCTTTTGTTTCACTTTGCATATTTTAGACATCTTTTCATACCAGCACATATTGACCAACCTCACTCTTCAAGCCTGCATAATATTCCACCACAATATGAACACACTCTATGTAACCACCCTTCTCCTTACCAAGATGCTTTCATTTGAACACATGTATGTGTTTTAAAGATATTTATCCATGCCACGTTGGGCACTTTTATCAGCATATCCAGATTATTCTCTTGCAAAGGAAAATTGCTCAATCAAAATATGCCTTTAAAAAGTCTCACAGATACTGCCATGCTGCTCTCCAGAAAGACTGCATCTATTGTACTCCAAGCAACAGCAGGATGATTAGGAAAACACAGGCCATAACCCGACTTAGGCTGTGCCCACATTTCCATAACAGTGCCAGTATATGGTAGACACTCAACAGTCACCCATTGTCAACTCATCTGCTCAGCCCATGGCATGGAAAAAACAAGTCCAAATAGCTGGATTAGCTGCTGTGATTCCAACACATTTTGTTGGATAGCGAATAGTAATAATAATGATATTGATGATGATGGTGACGTTTCTTAAGCCTTTACTATATGTCATATGCAAAATTAAGTGCTTTTCATGTATTATCTCACTCACGCTTCTTAACACCCTTGTGAAGCACGTTTTATTATTTTCTAGAAGAAATCCAAGGCTCACAGAGGCAAAGTTGTCTTCCCCAGAATATCAAGATGATAAGGGCAGACTGAGGATGTGAACCCAGGTCAGTAACATGGTTTGGATATTCGTCCCCTCCAAATCCCATGTTGAAATGTTTTCTCCAATGTTATAGGTGGGGCCTCGTAGGAGATGTTTGGGTCATGGGGGCAGATCCCCCATGAATGGCTTAGGTGTCCTCCCCTTGGTGATCAGTGAGTTCTCAATGAATTCACACAAGAGCTAATTGTTTAAAAGAGCCTGGCACCTCTTCCTCCATCTCTTGCTCCCTTCTCTCATCATGTGACCCACTGGCTCCCTATCACCTTCCAACATGGTTGTAAGTTTCCTGAAGCCTCACCAGGAGCAGATGCTGATATGTGTTTCTTACACAGCCTGCAGGACTCTGAGCCAAATAATAAATGTTTTTTTAAAATAAATTATCCAGTCTCAGGTATTCCTTTATAGCAATGCAGAATGAACTAATACACAAAATTGGTACCAAGGAGTAGAATGTTGCTATGAAGTTACCTGAAGATGTGAAAATAGCTCTAGAACTGGGTAATGAGCAGTGGTTGGAAGAGTTTAGAGGGCCCAGGGCCCAAAAGATGACAAAAAGACAAGGGAATGTTGGAACTTCTTAAAGACTAGTTAAATGATTATAACTAAAATGCTGATAGAAATAAGAACAGTAAAGGCCAGGCTGAGGTGGTCTCAGATGCAAATGAGGCAGTTATTAGGAACTGGAATAAAGCTCACCCTTGCTATGCCCTAGCAAAGAACTTGGCTGCATTGTGTCCATGCCCTGGGGATTTGTGGGAGGTTGAAGTTAAGAGTGATGACTTAGAGTATCTGGTAAAATAAATTTCTAGGCCAGTCATGGTGGCTCAGGCCTGTAATCCCAGCACTTTGGGAGGCTGAGGCGGGTGGATCACAAGGTCAGGAGTTCAAGACCAGCCTGGTTGATATGGTGAAATCCCATCTCTCCTGAAAATATAAAAATTAGCTGGGTATGGTGGCAGGTGCCTATAATCCCAGCTACTCGGGAGGCTAAGGCAGGAGTATCACTTGAACCTAGGAGGTGAAGGTTACAGTGAGCTGAGATCGTGCCACTGCACTTCAGCCTGGTAACAAAGTGAGACTCCGTCTCAAACAAACAAACAAACAAGAAAACATTTTCGAAAGAGCAAAGCATTCAAGATGTGGCATAGCTGCTTCTAACAGCCTAACATCAGGAATAGGTACAAAGGAATGACTTAAAGTTGGAACTTATAATTAAAAGGAAAACGGAACATAAAAATTTGAAAAATTTGCAACCTGGCCATGCAACAAAGAAGGAAAAGGCATTAGCAGGAGAGAAATACAAGTGAGCTGTGGAGCAATCACTTCCTAGAGAGATTTGCATGACTAAAAGGGAAACAGATGCCGATAGCCAAGACCACAGTTTTAAAAAGGCCTTGAAGTCATTTCAGAAACCTCTGGGACAGTCCCTCCCATTATAGGCCCAGAGACCTAAGAGGAAATAACAGTTTTGGAGGCCAGTCTCAGGGGATGCCCAGTGCTACCTCAGGACACTGCTCCCCTCATCCCAGTTTCTCTGGCTCCAGCTGTGGCTCAAAGTGTCCCAGGTACCACTCTAGCTGCTACTCTGGAGTGAATAAGGTGTAACCCTTGGTGGCTTCCACACAGCGCTAAGTCTGCAGGTGCACAGAGTGCAAGAGAGAAGGAGGCTTTGCAATTTCTACGTAGATTTCAGAAGTTGTATGGAAAAGCCTGGGTGCCCAAGCAGAAGCCTATCACAGGGGTGGAGCCCCCACAAAGAGACTATACTAGGGCAGTGCCAGGGGGAAATGTGAGGTTGGAGCCCCTGACCCAGTCCCCAAAGGGCCACTTCCTAGTGGAGCGTAGGAAGGGGGTTGCTGCCCTCTAGACTCAAGAAGGGTAGAGCCACCAGCTTGTACCCTGAGCCTGGAAAAACCACAGGTACTCAACTCCAATCTGTGAGAGCAGCCCCAGGGGCTGCCCTTCAAAGCCACAGAGGCAGAACTGCCCAGGGCCTTGGGAGCCATCCTTTGCATCCAGTGTGCCCTGGATGTGGGACACGGGGTCAAAGATTATTTTGGAGGTTTAAGATTTAATGTCTGCCCGGCTGCGTTTCAGACTCAAGTGGGGCCTGCTGTCCCTTTCTTTTGGCCAAATTCTCCCTTTTGGAATGGGAATGTTTACCCAATGCCTGTGCCACCACTTTATCTTGGAAGTAAATAACTTGTTCTTGATTTTACAAGCTCAAGGAACTTGCCTTGAGTCTCAGATGAGATTTTGAACTTTTGATTAGCTGATGCTGGAATGAGCTAAGACTTTAGGGGACTACTGGGCAGGGATGATAATGTTTTGTGATGTGAGAAGGACATGAGATTTGGAGTACCAGGAACAGAATAATATGGCTTAGATATTTGTCCCCTCCAAACCTCATGTTGAAATTGTTGGAGGCGGGGCCTGGTAGGAGGCATTTGAGTCATGGGGGTAGATCCCTCAAGAATAGCTTGGTGTCCTCCCCTTGGTAATGAGTGAGCTCTCACTCTTTAGTGACTTTTCACTCTATTAATGTTAGAGAGCTAATTATTTTTAAAAGTCTGGCACCTCCTCCCCATCTTGTCATGTGATACACCGGCTCTCCCATTGCCTTCTGCCATGAGTGAAAGCTTGCTGTGGCCTCACCCGGAGCAGATGTTGGCAACTACACTTCTTGTTCAGCCTGCAGAACCATAAGCCAAACAAGCCTCTTCTCTTTATAAATCACCCAGTCTCGGGTGTTCCTTTACAGCAACACAAACAGATGAACACAGTCATGAGCTCACTCTGCAAGTCATGCTATGAACCACTCTGTTCCTCTTTGCTGCTGCTCCCCCTCCCTCATTTCTTCCCCAGATTATTCTGTTGCCATTCCTTCTTCACATGAAATACCTGTAGTCATTTGGGTCTAGACTGGGCATGGGTAGTTACAGCACTCACATGGAGAACATGACCGATTTTGCCTTTGGGGCTTCTAAGCCCACAGTTAAACATTACACACTCAGAAGAAAAGGCCTGGATTTATAAGTGACCAGCGGGGCATGTTGAATCAGTACATAGTGCCTTCTGTGTTTAAAGGCAGGTTGAACTGGGCTGAGGACAGCAACATGCCACCACCATTTATGTCAGAACTGGCTCCAATATCCCAGTCTCTCAATACCTAAATCCCTCCTCAGCATGGGCAGTGGAGGGGAGCTTTATCTTGAGAACTCCTCGCTGGTTCCCAACCTATAAAGGCCTTTTCTGTATGCAGAATCTGGCCTTTGATGCAGGCAGAAAATACTTTTGAGGGAGGGTGTGGGGTACCCGGTTTATACCAACCTGCCACATAAACAAGTTAATCATTGCTTTCTTAGAGGATCATTTGGGGCCATTAACCAGAGCACTGGCTTGTTACAAGTCCTTAGCCATCTCTTCGGCCCACAATGAATCAGAGAAGGAATTCATACTAATCCAGAACTGGCTTTTCTTGTTTTAGGGTTGGGGCGAGGGGGAAAGCCCAGTAAAACCAAGCCAGTCTCCTCACAACCTATGTCCCCCCAAAAAACAGCAGAGCATATCCCTGTTTCCCAAATACCATCCAGTTTCTCTAGGCTAAGCACAGAGAAAAAGTAAAACCTAAGTGCATACAGTCCAACAAAACTATAAACGTGGACCTGGATCAGCTGAGAACAAAAAGGAGGAAGGAGGCACAATTTGCCTCCTTGTGGGTATCCTGTATACCCTTCATGCCCATTTGCTACAGATATTCCCTACTTCCCTGGAATATTTCCTGTCCACAATCTGAACTGGAGCGGGTACATCTCACCCATACCCAATTCGGCTAATTGAATAAAGCGGGGTTAGCACATGGGAACGGCCTCAGGAGCTGGCAGGGAAAGAGAAGGCAGCAAGGTGGGGGCCACGGCAAACTGGAGAAGAGAAGCACAATTCAAGTCAGCCACTGAGGAGTGAGGAGGTGAATGTGGGCAATATTAATTGCTGCCAGATCTTACCATCTTTCAAGAAGAGTAAAACAGAGATATCCTTAGACCCACATGTCTGGGCTCCTGCCTGGCTCTGAGCTTTAAAGACTAGCACCCTCACCCCGACCCCAACCTTTGCCTTCTTGACTATACTGGAGCCATGTCCACCCAGATCCTGCATTCTCCATTCTAGAACCATCTGGACACCTGCACCCCAGAGTTCCCTACACCAATGGCTGGAAGAGAGACCCAGTGCCCCTCGAAATGGTGGTTCCAAGTTGCTGCCTTGGGTCTGGTTCAGTTTGCCTTTAAACACAGGAGGTGCCAGATACTGATTCAACGTGCCCCTTTGTTCACTTATGAATCCAGGCCTCTTCTGCACACCCCCTCTCTAGTAGGCTTGCCGGATAAAACACAGGATGCCCATTTGAAGGGTTTTTCAGTATAAATATGTCCCAAATATTTTATTATTTGTTTATATATGCAATTCAAATATAACTCAACATCCTGTATTTTTTATTCATTTATTTTGAGATAGGATTTTGCTCTGTCACTGAGGTTGTAGAGCAGTGGTGCAATCTTGGCTCACTGCAGCTTCGATCTCCTGGGCTCAAGTGATCCTCCTACTTCAGCCTCCCTAGTACCTGAGACTACAGACACATGCCACCATGCCCAGCTAATTTTTTTTTTAATATATGGGTTTTCATCATGTTGCCCAGCCTGGCCTCAAACTCCTGAGCTCAAGTGATCTACCCACCTCAGCCTCCCAAAGTGCTGGGTTACAGGTGTGAGCCACTGTCCCCAGCCAACATCCTGTATCTTTATTACTTAACCTGGCAACCTTATCCCTGTGTCTAGCGTTCTGAGGGAGGACTCACTGCTGGCTGATGAGTGACTATTGCAAGGGAGGGAAAGGTCTCTGCAGGCTACAGGACAGAGCCTTCTATCTGTACTATCTTACCGGAAGTGTTATGGGGTAGACCTAACATGGGAAGTGGAATCTATAAGCATAACCTCCCAGGTTTTAAATATTTGACATACGTTTTAAACAATTCAAAATTTCTTTAAAACACTGTTCAGACCAAACAATCCACGTGGGCCTTGACCTCTGGCATAAGGTAATTCTACCCATTGCTAATGGCTGTGTTCCTCTGCATACCACAATTCAATACTACCTAATTATATACAAAGCCTCAACCCCAGTGGGAGGAGTAGAAGGGTGAGCACACTGCAGCTTAAGTGAGAGAGACATGTATTTTGGAGAGGAACATCTATAGGTCAACCTCCCTTTGGGATGGTGCTGACCTGGCAGTGATCATCATGGTGTCACATGATATTAGCTCTACAGAAAGGAGGGGCAAGGATATCAACACAAAGAGTAGGAGTGGAGGTCACAGAATAAGAATACTAGAGATGTCATTCATATTTTACTTTAAATTCCTCGTTTTGCAGGAGATAAGATGGAGCTATGCTCACAGAAGATAAATGGCTCTGCCCAAACCCACACTCTGGAATCTAAGTCTATAGATTCCTAGTCCAGTGTTCTTCCTCCTAAATCACATGGGATCCCTTACAGAGGGCATGGAATGTTACTCCTTTTTCATGATTTGAGGGCAACAGAAAACTTGCTTTAAAATTATACTTCAAAAAAAAAAAAAAGAAAGAAAGAAAAAGAAAAAAGAAAGAGGCAGGGGAGAGAAAAAAGAAACAAGAAATCACCCTCCCCCCATCTTCTCTACTTCTGCAAACTAAGAAAAACAAACCACTCCAAGAATATAAAGACATACTCAAAACCAAGAGGGTAACTAGAGCCTACAAATTGCTAGTTACGGAGGCACTCTTCTTCCCTTGAAGTTAGGTACTAAATATAGAACCAGAGAGCCCTTAAAAGATTTCTAAACTCCTTAACCAACGCAAGTGTCCAGTTTCCAAGTTTTCTCCCAATCACCAGGAGCCCCCAGGCCGCAAAAGCCAAGAGAGAACACAGATTGCTGAGGATGGCAGAAGAGTCCCCCAGTGAGACTGACCTGAACTGGATAAAATATTGCTTGCAGGGTAGGGAGAGTCTCAGTGAAGAAGTGGTCCCAGACTTCAGCCAGAACCTCAATGCGATTTTCACCTACAAGAGGGCGAGAAGATGGGAGGGGAGGGAGAAAGAAAAGAACTTATTACTTGTACGAAAGCCCTGAAGACACTTCCACATAAAATGTAAAGTTGCACATGCTAAAACTTGCAGCCAGGAGATATTAAAGTCCAGAGAGCAGGTGTGATGCTACAGGATCTTTATTCCAGGCCAAGATCAACAGAAATTCTCAGAGCAGAAATATATTCAGTCTCACATGGATGCATGTATTGATCCTAACTCACTGGTCTTACTAATAAGCAACCTAAGCTTACTAATCTTCACTAGTAAGACTCTGAATGGGAGGTGCAGCATTAAGTGTGGGGAGGGAAGAGAGCGCATTGCTTACATTTGATCTACATTTGATCTACAAGGTGTTACTATAGTAAATGTAGGACCAGGTGAGAAAACTCAACTGAAAATACGCAAATGTGCCTTTCCATCCTCCAATCCAGAAAAGGCAGCTGAGATCTTAAAATCACATCGTAATTGTGATCACATCAATGGTTACAACATTATCCAGCACTATGCTAGTTTACTTATCCATAAGATATCTCAAGACTAGAATGTAATACCCCCGCTTTACAGGCTCAGAGAGGCCAACTAACTGCCCCAAAGACACACAGCTCAAAGGCATAGCTGAGATTCCAGAACCCATGCTCTTGACCAACCTAATCCAGGAAGATCGTGTGCACAGTTATATAATGTTTTGTTTTCTTACTCATTAGGACACTGGCTTTATTCTGGGTTTCAGCTGTCAGTGGAGAGAGGCAGAAAGAGGACCTGGAAACTGTTCCCTCCACCCACTTCTTTTACAGTAACTGGAAGGGCAGCTTCTCTGAAAAGGCCATCTGCAAAACACAGCCCCTGCCTCCTGATCCTGTCCCTACTCACCCCTAGGATCAGGAAGCCTAAGCTATGGCCAAGTGTCCCTGCTACCCCAGGCTGGAGCGCACAGGTCACCTGATGCCATCGGAAGGCGGTACGAGGAACTCTGCACCTCCAGGAAAGACCGGCCCGGGCAGAGAGAAGCCTGCATGGCGGTTGCTGTTTAATGACCTAGATATCAGAGCTGATATTGGTCACTGCCTCTGCTCATCCCAGGCAGAGAAAGTAGGTCAGCCAAGATTAGACGCTGAGAGAAGCATTTGGCAAGACACTGCCAGTTCCACTGAATAAATCTTGAAAGATTCATTTGGCGCCTCCTGTCTATTAATTTAATGGGCAATAAAAGCAGTGGTTTGGGAGAGAGAATAGAACAAGGGCATGACTAGTAGCCAGCAGGTCCAAAGACATGCAGATTTTGAAAGGTCAGGGCGAAATACACAGGGGGAAAATGCAAATCCAGGGCACCCTCAACTTTCCTGTGCAAAGCACTGATCACACTTTACTGGAACGGCTTATTCACTTCTCTGTCTCGTCACTGGAGTGGGAGTGGGAATGGGGCCCCGTCTGTCTTGCTCATCACTATATTGCTAGTGCTTAGTGTGGTGCCAGACACGTCAATAAATCAATCTTTTAAAATCTTTGCATGAATGGATGGAAAGTGCCAAGCATATAGGTTTTTGTAGATGCTGGAGCTGGTGAGTGAAGGGAGGTTCAAATGTAACCCAAATATGGGACAGTGTAGAACAGGACTTAATAGTTAGCATGAACATTTTCCTTTGCTCCTAGGATAAAGAAAACCTCAACAACACAATCTACACAGCCCAGGAGAATCCGCCTCCTCCTCCTGGGCCTTGATCCTCTTCTGTATTCCTGTCGGCCTTTGGACTGTAATTGACCTTCTTGCAGTCACCCTGCTCTCTCGTGTCACAGGGCCTTTGCACATGCTAGCCCTTTTGCCTTGACTGCTCTTTCTTTCCCTTCTTTGCCTAACCTACTTCTGTGTATCTTTCTAGTTGCACCTTGAACATCACTTCTAGGGGGAATTCTCTCCCCTCTGGTCAAACCATCTCGCTGCAGATTGTATTCTTAGTATTTGTCCTGGGTATTGTTTTATATTTGGTGATGATTTGATTCAAGGGTGAGCTCCACGAGGGCCTGTAATCCTGTGATGGTATTTCTGACTCCTGACTCCCCAGCACCTAGCAAAGTACTGTCTCATGGTAGGTAATCAAATAAACATTTGATGGAAGCAATCGTCACACTCTTTCAACTGTAGGCTATGCTATTTTACTGCAGGGAGAGGAAGGGGAAGTCCAAAAGGACCATCTCACATGTCATGTCATCCTTGTTCCCAAAACCAAGGTGAACTCCAGCACCTGGATAATGTACCCCAAAGGGCAAAAAGTTACTCCAGCTTCTTTGTTGATGTCCTTTATCTTAAACCTTCCACAACCAAGACAAGCAGAAGCTGTTTTGATCTGAAGGAGGGGAAGGAGAGAGAATCTTGCAGGTCAGCACTGGTACCTACTTACTCCCCCTTTCAATGCCAAGACAGGAAGCTCATTGGCACACGAGGTAACCCTGCAACCCAGCAGCAGTAAGACGCCTCCTGAGAACCCAGGTCTAATTGCTGGCTGCAAACTTCAGAGAGTAATGGAGGTTTTGGAAAGTGTTCAGAGAAGAACATCAGACAGACACAGACATAGAAACAGGGTAGCCCTGGGGGAGAAAGAAGTAAAGAACATAGCTGCCTTCCCATCCAGAAACACCCCATAAGTCAAGGACTTAGCTCCCTGAAAAAATAAAGGGAGTTGGATGGACGGTTCTAGATGACTGTCTTATAAATCTGCCCTCTAATGTATCACATCAGTTTAGGTCACCAGGAGTGTATAGATAAGTATAAGAAACTTCCTAAGAGTCAAGGTCACTAAGGCTCTAGAACGGTTACTGAAGTTAACATGGTGTCTTCTGCCCACAAAAGAGCAACACGTGGATATGAACGGCCACCTGCCTTTTCTGCAGCAGTCAACGAGGGGTGTGTCTACATAGACATGTGAGTACCTAAGCAGAGATGTCAACAAAGAGGAGTCTGTTTAGTGACTGGACAGATCATATTAATTGTTTTCCAACTTTATTTGATAGCAAGAGAATTCTTTTATCCAAACAAAATTTTTCTTGGAGTTTGAACACAGAAAATTAAAAAGTAGAGATGCCTGGTTGAAGATAGCAAAGTCCCTTACAGGTTCCCCCACCCCCATGCCCATTCACTGTATAGAAAAGGCCCCGACACCCAGAACTCTAGGGCTAGAAGAAACTCAGAGAATACCCCCGGCCTGGTGTCCTCAGGCCACGCCAGGGCAGGAGCACAGAATCTTTGATGAACTTTGTTCATCCCGTCTAGCTCATTTCTGAGTTTTCACTCTGAGTGTATCTATGATGAGGGTTACTTGGTAAGAGACAGTCAACTTCCCCTTTTAAGGGCACTTGAACCTCTGGTTTTATTTGGTATTCTTTCATAGAGCTGTTTTTCCACGTTTCCAGGAGCTTGTAATAACTCCCTGGATAACATACATACAATTAATGTGGCCAGGGACAATGTTTCTTTTCCCTCCCTTTACCAGGCAGTTGTTGTCCACATTTTTGTACTAGCCTGACTCCAAAATACAAAAGAGGGCTGGGCGCAGTGGCTCACGCCTGTAATCCCAGCGCTTTGGGAGGCCAAGATGGGTGGATCACTTGAGGTCAGGAGGCGAGACCAGCCTGGCCAACATGGTGAAACCCCTACTAAAAATACAAAAATTAGCCAGGCGTGGTGCCACGTGTCTATGATCCCAGCTACTCAAGAGGCTGAGCCATGGGAATCGCTTGAACCCGGGAGGCAGAGGTTGCAGTGAGCCAAGATCACTCCACTGTACTCCGGACTGGGCCACAGAAGTGAAACTCTGTCTCACAAAAAAGCAAAAGAGCCACTAAATTCCTGGTCAAAGCAAGTCACCTAAAAATAAACCCCTTCCTTTGACACATGAGAGGATAAAGCAAATGTAGCAAACACATACAATGGAACATTCACCTTAAAATAAGAAGGGAATCCTGTCACGTGCTACAACATGAATTTGAGGACCTTATGCCGAATGAAACTAGGCAGTCGCAAAAGGAAAAATACTGTATGATTCCACTTGTAAGATGCCTAGAATAGTCAAAAGCGTGGATACAAAAAGTAGGATAGTGGTTGTCAGGGGCTGAAGAAAGGGGCCAATGGGGAGTTGTTGAATGGACATGGAGTCTCCATTTTGCAAGATAAAGTTCTAGAGGTGTTACGCAGCAATGTGAATATAATTAACAGGACTCCACTGCCAATGTGCTGAAACTATAGAGGATACATTTATGTCGTGTGGGTTTTTTTTAAAACCCACAGTTAAAAAATTTTTTTCTAAAGGCCTTGGGTTACTGGGTACTTATAAGGTTGAAAAAAAATCGCAGCATAGATGTATTCAAGGGAAGAATGGTTACAGGTTCAGCCAACTCTCAAATGTGCAGAGGTTAATTTCTAACCTCTATTCTTTCCAAGGCTTGGTAAGCGTTGACTGTGTGCCAGAGGTTGGAGCTTTCCAGCGTCAGTTTCTCATTTTCCTTCCTGCTTTGTCTTTCTAGGAGCCCCTTCCCTGGACACACTAGTGTCTTTCCCAGGGAGTGGGACGAAACAAGATGATGATGACATGACGCACCTAGTAAGTCTGGGTCTGGAAGTCAGTTTGATCTATGGGTCATTAGGCTGGAGCAGAAAAAATAGAAAGGGTTTGGTATATACGCCTGCTGTGTGCATTCCGTCACTCATGTGCCTTACCTTCCCTGCAGCCCCTCACCCCGATTTATCACTTCAAATATGACAAAAGCTGAGACTGGGAGGAGCTAATAACTAACCGAAAGTCATCCAAGAAGTAGGTGGCAAGCTAAGACCAAGCCCTACTTTGTGGGAGCTAAGAGTAGCCCTTGGTAGAGCCATGGGTTTGCCCAATTCTTGCCTTTGGAATCTGTTTCCATCTTTATTCTGTTACTTTCTATCCTGTCAGTTGGACTTTAAAATCTAAGATCAGGAAATTTCCCTTCGTCTATCAAATCATACCCTTTTGAGTGAGTACCTGCTTAGCCTAATGTCCCCACGAATGGACAGGACTCCTCTCTTCTGTGACTCCCCAGAAATATTACAAAGACCTGTAGGAAATAGCTTAACTTGTACCTTCAAAGGAGACAACCACCCTACATACCATTTAAAAAAAAAAAAAACGCCTTAAGGCCAGGAGCAGTGGCTCACACCAGTAATCCCAGCACTTTGGGAGGCCAAGGCAGGTGAAGCACCTGAGGTCAGGAGTTCAAGACCAGCCTGACCTACATGGAGAAATCCCGTCTCTACTAAAAATACAAAAATTAGGCAGATGTGGTGGCACACGCCTATAATCCCGGCTACTTGGGAGGCTGAGGCAGGAGAATCTATTGAACCCAGGACGTTGTGGTGAGCCGAGGACGCACCACTGCACTCCAGCCTGGGCAACAGAGCGAGACTCTGTCTCAAAACAAACAAACAAACAAAACAAAACAAAAAACCCTTAATGAGGTCTGCAAAGAAACCACCCCATCCCACTACATTTTTTGGAAACACAGTTCTGACTTGCACTGCTGTGAGCTGCTGACTGAAATGAAAGTGCTGCTGCCTAGATGGGGAGGAAACGGACAGAGTGAATCACTCACTTGGAGCCTGCCGTTTCTGGACAGAACCATCTCAGCTGTCCAAACATCAAAGGCTGAGTCACAGGGGCCCTAATCTACCAGGGCTGTCTTGTACTTGCCTTCACACAGCTTGATCTTCTCCTCCACAAAGAACAGTCCTTTTGCAAGAAGCTGGTTCTGCCAAAAGAGAAGAAAGAACATAAGAGTTTGGGCAACTCCAGAGCGTGAGTGAGGAACCCTCTTCTACTTCCAGTGGGCAAGGGCACAAAGTTCTGGGCACTTCTGTTCTAGCGTCTGAGTTTAAGCATTTTGTCCTCTTGGAATGCCAAGCCTTCAGAAGACAGTGAGACTTCCCACAGCAAAAGAGCAAGTGAGGTAAGAGGCAAACCGAACCGCCAACCTCATCCCTCAGACCAGGGAAGAGGCATGACACAAGCTTGGATGAATTCGCCATTGTTGACACCCAGTGTCCTAGAGGCCCTTAGTGATCTAAACTCACAAAAGGGAGCACTGAGCAGAAAATAGGGACACTACGCAGAAATAACATATTTAAAAAAAAAAGAGAGATAAATTTAGTTTCTCACACTAGCATGAAAGAGACTGCATGCAAAATCTTAAGCAGCAGTGAATATGCATCTGTCAATGAATGTGTGCACGGGAAATTGTGTAAAGAGAAAGTAAAGTCCTTTTGCAACTGCAACTAACAATCATTGAGTGTGCTGTCTATATCATACGCTTTATATCCTTCATCTCATTTAATTCAATCCTATCAAGTTGGTGCTATTGTCCTCACTTTACTGATGGTCAGTGAAGAGACTTGCCCAAGGGAGACAGACCTGGTCTTCCTGGCTCTATAAGCCACATTCTTTCTACTCTGCTTTGCTGCCTTCCAGCAAGTCTTCCTACCCAGACCCCTTCCTTCCCTTGAAAGGCTATAGCTGGTCCCCTAAGACATGGAGCAGCCTCTCCGTGAGTCACAATAGCTCAGAGATCAGTGACAGGCTGGTGTCTCTACACTCATATCACATTATTAGATTACTAAGGCCTATGCTTATGGGAGAGGCAGGGGCAAAAGTGATATGTATCTTACCAAAGGATCTAATGCATTCTTTAGCCTTCTCCTTTGTAAAACCCTACGACCCTATTACAATGATAAAAGAAGCATATGGAGCAGAGTGGAAAGAACTTGGGTATCAGTTCATGTTCCAGCTCAGCTACATCCTAGCTGTGTGATTTTGTATTTAATTTCCCCGAGTCTCAAGCTCCTCATCTGTAAAATGGTATGATACTAGAAGTACCACAACATTCTTCATTGTAATCATTACAAACACATGAATCATTATAAACACATACACACAGCATTTTATGTCCTTAGTAGTCAGCACTGGTGGTAGCAATAGTAATAGCTGCCATCTCAGCCCAACTTCTTCACAAAAGCAGTGGGAGGCCAAAAGTCAGTAGTGAATAGGCCTTTATAAAATGTACTAATAGAATATTTTATCAAAGTTCCTGTCCCCTTTCTGTGATGGGTGAACATATACCAAATCCATAATCCTATTAAGATTTACAAAATAAGACCTAATTTGAAAAAGTAATTGGCTATCATGTAGTTCTTTTTTGGGACAGAGTCTTGATTTGTCACCTAGGCTGGAGAGCAGTAATGGGATCTTGGCTCACTACAACCTCCGCCTCTCCCAGGTTCACGCAATTCTCCCACCTTAGCCTGCCAAGTAGATGGGATTTCAGGTGCCCACCACCACTCCTGGCTAATTTTTGTACTTTTTTAGTAGAGACAGGATTTTACCATGTTGGCTGGGCTGGTGTCGAACTTATGGCCTCAAGTGATCCGTCGGCCTTGGTCTCCCAAATTGCTGGGATTACAGGTGTAAGCCACTGCGCCCGGCCACCATGTAGTTTCAAGATGACAGATAGAACCCCAAATCAAAGTTACAGTGACACCATATAGGAATACACCAACTTTGTTAAAGAAAAAAAAAAAGCAAATCCTCACAAAGGATTATGAAACACACAGGCAGTAAAGGCGAGGCCCTAACCTGTTCTTCAGCTTCCAGCCAAGTGCGTGAATCCCAGCGGCTGGGTCATGGCAAGACTTTCTGGGTCAGAAAGCAAGAAAATACCCCAGCACCAAATCAACATCTTGTGACAGCTGAGCTGGACATGAGTGGTCTGTGGAGGTGTGTTCAGATGGCAGGCACTCCACCTGAATGCTTCTGAGCACAAATCTCAACGGTGCCCGGCAGTCTATGCTGGTCATTCCCTTTCACCTAGCCCAGGTGAGGTTCTCATATCGTCCCATTAGCGTTCTATGCATGGGCTCCTGAATGCCATTCTTCTCAGTACCTCTAGTGTCAACACTGATGTTCCAGGCTTCTACTAAAACAACTTCCCTAAACTCTCCCTAATTTCACATTTCTGAGGTGCACCTATAGAGGTAATAGAGATCGCCTCTGTGATGCAATTTTCACCATTTTGTTCTAGCGCTATAATTATCTACATGGGAGGAGGTTAGGGGGAACTGAGGCATTGACGGAAATAAAACCTAGTCCAGGTGATAGCACGAGTTAACAAAAATTAATTCAAACCATTCATTAGTTAGAATTGCAGGTAATTAGGAGTGCGGGTCATGTCTTATCTAAGTTAGCACCCTTGGCTCCTGGTATTGTACCTAGAACATAGCAGATACCTAATATATGCTGACTATTTTAGTGATAAAGATCATTTTTTATTTTTAAGAAGCCAAGATAAAAGACAGAATATTTTTAAGAGGAATAAGGGCTATAGGGTCTCTAAGTTTGTTGCCATTTTCTTCATTTGAATTAGAAAATCATTTGAAAATTACATTGTCCCTATCCTTAAGGAATAAACCTCAAAACATGGCCTGGATTTTCCTTTCTTCCCCTTTCTAGGTCTTCTCCCTTCAAGGAGACATTAGAAAAACAATCTTTTATATATATTTTCAAGGAAAAGTAGTTATTCCTATATTATGGGGAAATGGTATAGAAAATATTCTTTTAAAACTTCTCACAGTACACAGCATGGAAATTCTATAGCTTAGATCAAAATAAGAGAAACACAAACTTGAGGTTAGAAGGGGCCTTAAGAATCACCTAGACATTCTCTCCTCTCCCTGGTCCTATGGTCAAAATCAATTGGTCACATACATTTTGATGATATTTAGTGGATCAATTTCCATTTTCCAGCAGGCTATCACCCCCTACCCCCAGAAAACTCTCAATTTTGCTCTTATCTTATAGTTGTATAAACTGAAGCTATAAGTGGGGCCTCCCTCTCCAAAATTCCAGTAAAAGACATGAGAGTGAGGCTCAGTCTCTCCAATACTCACCTTTTATTCAGCACACACTATTAGAGTAAGGATCCCTTGGATTAGCCAAGCCCAGGCCCCTCTTCACTGGGGAACCACCACCATCCACCCAATGGAGCTGTGCCCATTCATTCATGCCCCATTCACGCTGCACCTTCCAGCTTTGCTGATGGGTCTCAAACTGAGCCCCAAGTCTATTCTGTAGGGAATTTGGGCCCCAAAGGGTCTTGCATTCTTAAGGGCCTAATACTCTGAAAGCCCTCACTTGCGATTGGGTTCTCCACAGTTGCCATCTTTGACTCTCAGTATTTTTATCTTTGAATTTGTGTTTCATAAGTGAAGTGTGAAGGGATAACAGAACATACACTGGGGTCTGACGCCTCAGCTCACACATAGTCCTGCCTCCTCACCATCTCCTCAAGAGGGATTTTCAGGCACCTACACCTCACCCTAGCGCCTCGGCTCCACCACCACCGTCACCCTACTCCCAAGGTGCTGACAGGGTCATGTGGGTGGGGGCCTCTGCACCAGTACAGGGAGAGTCAGGGCCGGACATGCACCCTGCAGCATCTTGGGGAGAGGCGTAGTGCCAGCCCTCCTGCACTCCCTGCACTGCCAGTGCTGTAATGCAGTTACTGCTGACTCAGTGGAGACCTCTTACCCACCATCCATCTAGATACCAAGAGTGATCAGTGCAGACATGCAATCTCTTAGGGTTACCTGCCTACTATGAGCTGTGGTGGCAGGCCTATGGGAAGGGGAGATTGGCATCCCCATGCCAGTCTGGTTAGTAGAGTAATTTTAGAAGATGCCAGTGACACCAGTGTTGACATTAGTGGTGAGAAGAATGGCATTCAGGAGTCCTTGCACAGAATTCTGAGTAGACACGTTTCTTCTGCACTGGGCTCTGCAAATTATGAAGCTCACCCTGTCACTTCACCTAAGAATATGCCAACTTGACATCTGTGGAGCTTAAGCCTGCTCAAATGGGTTGAAGGTGGGGCAAAACCCAGTCTTAACTCAGGTGGCCATCTTGCATTGTTTGTCCTTCCTAAGTGTCCAGTCTTCCTGGACCTCACCTCACAGTATTCCCATACCCTGATGAATCCCTGACTCCAGAAGCTTCTGAGCATTTGCTGGCTGCTGAGCTGGAGTGATGGAGCTGTATGGTAACAGAGCTGGAGAAGACTCAAGTTTCTCTTGTCCCACTCCTTGCCTGACGGCACCAACCCACCACCTCCCCAGGTGGAACACTAAGCCAAAAGTAGTTACTAAATAGTAGCCACCCAGGAAGTGACTTGGGACTTGGAACTGGGCCCATTGTTACTTAATGCATCCTCTCCTTACCCCATAAATGAACTTGGACACAGTCAAAGTCACACTATAATGAAGTGACAGAGGAGACGGAAGTGAAAAACAGCTGACATATCTATTTTTCCTAAGACATAGAAAAACAGGCTACAAACAGAAAAATGAGGCTTAGCTAGGGAAAATGTAAACAAGATGTTTGGGGAAAGCCAAATCTTCAGTGGACGCCAAAGACGCAGCTTCTCCTGGGTCATCGCAGAGGGCAGGTTCTGGAGTGGGTGGGCAGAACAGAGCAGAGGGTGGCTGTGGGTGGTGTGGGGCTACCAATGATACACGCCTCCTGCCAAGCAGGTACCTTCCCAACCCGGTGGGAGGGACCCAGATGAGATGGGTAACCAAGAGGGCTGGGTACAGGGAGAACTCCATCTTCCCAGCAGGAAGAACTTTCCATACAGACCAGGAAGCAGGAAATCTGTAAATGCTAAGGCTGCTAACTACCATCACTTTTAATGACTTAGTAGAGATG